AGAGTGCAGAAGGGCTAGGGTGACGATATGCCCTCAGGGCTGCAAGCAGCGGAGGGGCTGAGCCTGCTGAGACAAGAGGCTGAGCCAGAAGAGTGTTTCATGGGGCTCTGCAAAGGAATTACAGCTTGGTTCCCTAAGGAAGCAAAACTATGTCAGCAGGCTGTCTCTGCCTGTCTCTTGCCTCCAGTGAGTCTTGAATCTATTGGTCTGTTTCCGCCACAGCTGATAAAGCGGTGGAGGCCTCTCAGATAATGGGATCCAGCTGGTTTTGTGACTTCAGGTGACTGGCTTAATGAGAGGGGCCTGGGAAGACACCCACCCCCCCTGCAAGGAAGGAGTCCATATGCTGCCCTATAACTAGCTGACAGACAGGCTGTGCACAGAGTGTGGTTGGAAATGGCTTCATGAGCTATGCTTCCAAGACAGCTTTAAGATTTGGGGGAGGAGGAATCCTGAAGTTTTAGTGGTGCTGGACCCCTTTGCATTCAGTGTAGACCTCATGCTGACAGCCTTCAAATGGCATATTGTTAGCACTGGGGACATTATCAAATGTGTCTGGTCACAGTGCCCTGGAGAATCCAGTACTGGTCCAAACTTCTCCTTGCAAACTTTTTTTTTTTTTTAAACTAACTAGCTTGGGGACAGCATGGTTTGGGGCCTTCTGAGCTGCCCATCGACACTTTTGCTGGTCTGAGCCACAGGCCATTTTATCATGGGCCTCCCAGGAGCAAGGGGAGGGGGAACTTCTTAGGGAGGTGCAGGGGGATGGCTCCAGAGGGTGCCACTTTGGGACTGGATAACACCAGACCTGAGGAAGGGTGCAGCTCCGTTCTGATGTGGCCCTGCAGCAGTGGGTTCAGCAACTTATGTCAGGTTTCCTTCCAGGATAGAGGATATGGATTACTTCACAGCCCACGGTGCCATCCTAATAATGATGATGTCCTGGGAGGTAGGTTTTATCAGAGATCTGAACTGGGAATCAGATGTGGTTCAATCCCCACACACTGGGCTTATCTCCATTTTATTTTTGACGGCTGACAACCAAACCTTCCAAGGTAACTTGTGTGAGTTTTCTTCCAGAGTCTGCAGATGTCCTGAGGCAATAGCCCTAGGGAAAAGATATTGCAGTGTTCCCCTCACCTATCTATTTATGGCAATCCCAACGTCAGGGGTGCCTGCTTGTTTCACGCTAATCTGCTTGGTTTACGCTGCTGCCAAATTTCCGCCTCGTCACACCAGAGTGTTAGAGGATCCAGAAAGCTGCTGCAGGAATTAGGTCAGGTTTTCGGGGAGGGACGAGTGCTTTGCTTGTTAGTCACCAACCAGAACAACGGGACAAATGGCTGGAGGTGACAGGCTGCCTGCCCGTGTGTGCCCTCCAGCGAACGTGGGATCTTCTCTCCCTGGAGCTCTGCAGGAGGAGCACGCTGCGAAAGAGCTGTTTTGCATGGAGGCACGCTGAAAGCACAAGCCAAATGCTTTCTCTGTGCCACTGCTGTAGAGGAGTTGCTAAATTTTTCCCATCCCCCGAGCTCCTCTGCTCCCCAGCCCCATCTTTGGATATCACAGCACAACCAAGCGCTTTTCCCTCCCAGCCCCATGGGAGAAGAAGGGAGGTTTGGGAGTCAGGAGATGTGGCTTCTTGCCTTCGCTTTCTGCATCGTTGACCTGGACCTTGTGTCTTCAGATCTTGTGTTGAGGAGAAAACATTGTCAAGACAGCAGCTGAACAAAGTGCTAGGTTTTGTGGCTGGATGTTCTGTTGGTTTAAATATTGTGCAAGCAGTGCTGTTTACAGGTGCTGCTGAAGCGGAGCCAGCAGTGTGCCCAGGTGCCCAAGAAGGCCAATGGCATCCTGGCTTGTGTAAAGCAATAGTGTGGCCAGCAGGGACAGGGGAAGGGATCTTACCCCTGTACTCGGCACTGGTGAGGCCGCCCCTTGATGAGTGTGTTCAGTTTTGGGCCCCTCACCCCAAAAAGGACATTGAGTGACTCGAGCGTGTCCAGAGAAGGGCAATGGAGCTGGTGCAGGGTCTGGAGCACAGGTCTGATGGGGAGCGGCTGAGGGAACTGGGGGGGTTTAGTCTGGAGAAGAGGAGGCTGAGGGGAGACCTCATGGCCCTCTACAACTCCCTGAAAGGAGGGTGCAGAGAGCTGGGGATGAGTCTCTTGAACCAAGGAACAAGTGACAGGACAAGAGGGAATGGCCTTGAGCTGCGCCAGGGCAGGGTCAGACTGGCTCTTAGGAAGTATTTCTTTGCAGAAGGGGTTGTTGGGCGTTGGAATGGGCTGCCCAGGGCAGGGGGGGAGTCCCCATCCCTGGAGGGGTTGAAGAGTTGGGTTGACCCAGCGCTGAGGGATCTGGTGGAGTTGGGAACGGTCAGTGTGAGGTTCATGGTTGGACTGGAGGAGCTTCAAGGTCTTTTCCAACCGATACGATTCTGTGATTCCTTCTGTCCCTACTTCTGTGTCAGTGGCAGGGAACAGGAAAAAAGGATGTGGACAGGAAGACGTAGGGAGGACTGGCTGAAATATATAGCTGCAAAGCTCATTTGTTCCTGTCTGCATGGAGGGAGTCTATTGCGAATTGTACTGGTTATATCTAAAAGCTTCCAGCTTTTGCTGCTGCCTTCCCTGAGGCACACGAATCTGTGCAAGTCTTGCAACCGGGACATTACTTTGGTGCCCTTTAGTTTTGCCTTATCTGTGTAGTGCTCAAGTTTTTATAATACATGGGATTGCTTCCCAGAGGAGCTTTCATTGCTAGCTGTCTAGAGCACTTTGATTTCCTTGCATATCATAGAATCATAGAATACCAGGTTGGAAGAAGACCTCAAGGATCAAATCAGGGTGGGAAAAAATGAAAAGCCTTGATTTTATAGCGAACAGCACAGAGCACTATATGAGGGGTCAAGTCATTTTACAGATTTCCAGAAACTGATGCAAGAGAGGAAAAAGACCTGCAGTCACTGCCGACAGCAGAAAAGCTTTTTACTTGTGTCAGCTGGAGTAGGACGGTGGGTAGTATTTCTCCAGTGTGGCGTAGTCTGCTGAGAAAAAGATTTTTTTGATCTCCAAAAGGAGGGTTTTTTTTATGGAATGATGCGCTGAAAGCAAAAATTAATCCCGGGGGTTGTTTTCAAGCATGTTAACTCCCCACCTCATAGCAGGGTCGTCTCTGCTGGTTTCCCACGGCATGTGTAACAGCAGAAATCCCTGCTGCTCCCTTCGGGCAGTGGGACACCGTGGACATACCGCTGCTTGCAAGGCTCTTCTCTGCAGGTAGAAACTTGTTCTTCTTTATGCAGGTGTTTTGTCGCTGAACTGTTAATGGTTCCAGCTTTCACAGGCTGGTTGAGATAGGCCCCATTTCCACCAAGTGACACCAGGCAGTTGTGGCTCAGCAGGGGCCAGGGGAGGGAGCGGCCAAGGGAGAGCTGCAGTGAGCAACTCCCTCGTGAAGGTGCGGACCCGTGATGCCTCTTCTCCTTCATGCATGTGGTCACTCATCTGTCTTGCTGCAGACACTGTTTTCATGCCGTCCCCCTGGCACGGAGAAGGCGCAGCAGCTAGCACAACCTTGGGACCCCGTGCAGACCTGCACAGCGCCCCGTGTTGGCCCATTGAGCCACGCTCAGTCCCAGACATGTGGGCACAGACATGGGCTCGAAAATGCTGCCAACATCTGCACTTATGCTGTGCTGAGGGTCCAACTTCCCTGCGTCGGTTGCTGCTAGAGATGAGAAACAGCCCTTCCCACTGCCTAATTTTAGCTCTCCACCTTGAGGCCCTGCATTGCCGGTTACCATGGTGATCCGTCACCACCGGCGCTGCCGCTGGCTTTCTTGCCCTTGGAAATGTCTCTTTTTCCTCCTTGCTCCCAGGGAAGCAACAGCTGAGGCAGAAGTAGTGCATGTGGCTCACTGCACTGTTCAGTTCTTCTGCTTGACGCTTGCCTATTTGCATGAAAGACCCTTCATCTATGGGTTCCCCAAAAGTTGACGTGTGTTCCCGACCCTATTCTGCAGACAACTTGGGCTGTATGTACATGACACTGATGCTGTCCTGAATTTTTGGCCCATGAGCCGTGACGAACAGCTTTTTCCATGGTCTTTGCCCAAGAAGATGTCTAGGAAAGTTCTGCCCCCGTGCCATGGATGAGGCTCTGGAGCCCAGGCACTTCTGCCCTGGCTTTGTGCTCACTGCTTTTACACCTTCCCACTTGCTCTCTGGGCAGCAGAGGAGTAATTAAAAGCGATGCCCAAACAGAGAGAGCTTGGGCATCTTGCCCGAGCAGAAGAGAGAAACTGCCTTGTCACGGCTTGCAGTGTAAATGCCACTGCACAGCAATTAATGACGTCTCTGCCCTTTCTCTTCTGACTGCCTGAGCGTTCTCTGAACAGGGACGAGTGACACTTCCGAAGCCCATGGTCACAGAAAAGGCAATGGCAGCTCACAGGAAGGAAGCAGTGTAAAAATGTGATTCCAGCCCCCAAATCCTGACATTAATTTAAGGGCTGACATTACATAAGCGGGTCCAACAGGAAAGTTGGGGAGGGACTCTATCAGGGAGTGTAAGGATAGGATGAGGGATAATGGTTTTAAGCTGAAAGAGGGTAGATTTAAGTTAGATGCAAGGAAGAAATTCTTTCCTGTGAGGGTGGTGAGATACTGGATCAGGATGCCCAGAGAGGTTGTGGCTGCCCCCTTCCTGGCAGTGTTCCAGGCCAAGTTGGACGGGGCTTTGGGCAACCTGGGCTATTGGAAGGTATCCTTGCCCATGGCATGGGGGTGGGACTGGGTGATCATTAAGGTCTCTCCCAACTCAAACCATTCTGTGACATTGAAACACCATCGAGGTTTTTTTTGTGCGTGACCCCTTGCATTTAAACCTTTGCAGTTCATATTCAAGCTTTTACAAGCTATTTAATATTGAAGTGGCAGCTGCCATCCCTGCTTACTCACATGACTCTAGCAGACGGACCTTTATAAAGAGCAAACATGACAATGTCCAAGGTAAGATCAGAATATCTGTCACAAGAAACTAGTTTGTCTGGTAGCATCTGGGAGGTCACCAGAGAATTGAATCAGGAGTGAAGATTATAAAGCCTCATTCGCAGACCCCCCACTGTACTCGTCCATTCATCCACTGCCCTCTCCATTACACTGTCAGTTACGCAGAGACTTGGGCATTTGCCAGGAAAGCAAATCTGTGTGCACGCTGGCGGAGGAAAACGTTTCTGGTGAAGGCAGGATGTTAGGTGAAAGCAGGAGCTGCAGCAGCAGCTGCTAACGCCTGGCAGAGGAGCGTACCTCGACCTGCAGAGCAACTGCAGAGGGTCAGGCTGCAGGATGGGGTAGGTGTAGGGTAGCAGGGGTGATGTCTGGGGAAGGAAGGAGGTGAGGGTCTTGGGGATTTTGGGAAGGGGGCATACGACTAGAAAGGGCTGTGGTTTGTAGGTTGTATTTGGAGAAAAGATGGTTTGTGGGGTGAGCACTACAAGGATGGGGAGCACAGGGGGCTGAGTCACTGCTCTGGGACCCAGGGTGGAAGCTGAGAGCTGCTTTCACTAAAGGTGGAACCAGCATCCAGCCTCGTAACTCCTGCCACAGCTGCTGCTGCTGCTGCCAGGAGGGAGGATGAGCAAGCTGAGTCTGAGAAACCCCGTGCCAGAGTGAGAGGGCAGGCAGGCAGAGCAGCTTGATTCCTTTCTTTCTCTGGCAACCCCCTGGGGTGGAGACAGCCGTGCCAGGACATGGCAACCATCTCTAACCTGCTGCCAGCCTAGGACAGCTTAAAACAACAAAAAGCAGCAAACCGTATTGCTTTGATGAATAAGGGAAATGGGAGAACATGGCCCTCCATCCTGGCAGGAGGCTGTTGTGGCAGTGACACCCTGCCAACATCCCCACCCCAAGTCCCAGCGGGAAAGCTGCAGAACGGCTCCTGGGCTCCGGCTGTACAGGGAGAGAGCCGTGGCCAGGACAGCCGTGCCGCAGGCCTGGCTTCCAGCAAACTGTCGAGGGGAGAGGAATCTTGCAAGCCAAGCTCGGTCCCTGCAGATGCCTGCCGAGGCCGGCTGCGGTTGTAGCAGTGCTGTAAGTCTCAGGCCAGGAGGCCAGCGCCTGGTTTGGCATCGGTGGGAGCTTGCTGCTGGCAGTCCTGCCTGGCCGTGGGTAAGGAGAGGCAGAGTACTGCCATCTATTGCCAGACACCTGGATTACAGACCTTGGTGGGTGGCAGTTCAAAGTCATGTCTGCCTCTTTTTTTCTGTCCTTTGGCTCGGTGAAGGGATGGGTACATTGTTCAAAAACCTTTAACTGGATCAACCTACAGTGCATTTTAGGTGTGTGAGTGCCCTAGTCAGACTCCAGCATTGGAGAATTTGTTTTTTCTTTGTGGGTTGTTTTTTTTTTCAGAATGAGCTTTTCTCTCTTTGTTGTCTTAAGTTGTGTGAGGTTGCTTTGTGCAATGAAGCATTCATGTTTCTGCCTCGTGCCCCAGAAGCGCCTAGATCATTTACCCCAGCTCTCAACCAGAAGGCAACTCAAGAGAGGTGGATGCAGCAGAAGGGGCAGAGTGTCTTTCATAGCTCGGAAACGATATGTGAAAGGAGGACAAAGGGGCAGGGGGAAGATAACAGACTATCTTCATGGGGTGGGTAGGCCTGGTACACAATGTACATTTCTGAGCTAAGACTGGTGTGTACAAATACTATATTTTTATTTTACAGGATAAGCAGCAAGATAGGAACATTTGCAGAGAGTAGGAAAGGTGTTTGTCGCTATGCAAACCTGGAGGGAATCCTGCAGTGCTTTGATAAGACCTTCTTGGGCTTGATGACTATGCAGTAGGCCAACAGATAAAACATTCTGAAAACCAGGGCAAGGTCATTCAGAAAATGATCCGGCTGTCACTGTGGGGTGTTCAGTAAAGACAGCAACTGTGAAATTCTGATTTAAAAGCCAAAAAAAAAAAGAAAATTAGGATAAAGAAGCGACAGGAGAAAAGTAAAAGTGCTTGGCATTTGTCATTATATGTATCGACAATGCTTGCTCCTCAGGCAAATTCTGTTCCTTTTTGATCACCTATTTTCAAAAGTATATGATGGAGGTACAAAGATACCACACATGAACAGAGGTTAAAAACAATACTCAGATGAGAAGGTAAAAAAAACCCTTTGTGTCTAAGAGAGAAGAGTCACAGCAGATGTGATTGACCTGTCTCACTGATTATTTTACATTCCTCAATCTCCTGTGTGATACAAAAATGTTGAGGAAGCCAGTTGGCTAGCCTGAACCAGATATTTAATGTACAGGTGGAAAATGTTAGATGAAATGAGAGTCACAAAGGAAATTCATGACAAAGAAGGGAATTAAACCAGGGTCTCCAAAGTCTGAACCCCTGGAACCATCTTCTCTTTTAAAAGTCTAAGAAAAAAAAGGCATTAAACTGATAAAAGTAAATGATGATTTATTGAAAATGTGATTAACCTGTAGAAATCTTCCCTGCTAGGTGTCACCCGTTTGGGAACACAGTGGGACTCAAAAAAAGGGGTTGGACAGTTACGTGAAGAACAAGAATACTTGTGATGACTTTGGCTAGGAGAAAACTGTAAAGCGCATAAATTGTGCTGCAGGGCATAAGTCAACTGCTGGCTGTCAAGGACCAGGAAGAAATTTTCACTCTGAGAAGGTTACTGCATAATTATCTATGACAGTGTTTCTTCCTTTGAAGTGTTTAATCTTGACCAGTGGAGGCAAGATAATAGTTGATGTAGTTTTGTGAGATTTTATTGTGACAGGAGCATTATCTGGTGCCTGATGGTGATTTCTTCTGTCTGTTAGGCATCACACCTTTCTCCAGGGCTATGTTCACCACCTTCTTAAATGTCTCAAGCAAAGACATTTCTGTTCCCTACACTCCATGAAAAAAATTCTGAAGACAGCAGTCATTGACATGAGCGAGTTATTCTTGCCATTCGTGCTAGACTTTCTCTTGCTCATGTTTGCTCCAGTTCTCCTAGGTGATTGTCTGGGAATGACCTCAAGGAATCCTTCTCTTGCTGGGGCTGTAGCCCTAGCCCTTGTGTCTGCTCCTGGTTATTGTCTGAGCTGTCCATCTGTGGTAGTCACGTCTCTCTTGTGCTATAATCTACCTTACCACTCTTTGGTCCAATCTACAAGTTAAATGTGTTATTTCTTAAAGCTGTGTTGCTCTTCTTCTGGGTAACTTGATGTATTTTGTCTCTCTTACTTTGCAGGAAGAGCCAAGGAGCAAATCCAAGATCTGTGCCAATGTTTTCTGTGGAGCTGGGCGGGAGTGTGCAGTGACTGAGAAGGGAGAGCCTACCTGCCTTTGCATTGAGGTACGGGGACAGCCCAGCTTCTGTGTCTGGTACAGGTGTCACCACCATCACCCCCTGGCTGGGGTTCGATCACTGGAAGGATCCCAGGATGGAATAAGGCTTTGGCTGTTTTGGAGCATCTGCAAATTCACAGCAGCTCTTCAAACAGCAGGGTCTTTCCCAGAGTGGTGTGGGGAAGGAGCCCTGTAGAGTAGATATTATCTGGGGCTTGCAGCTGTGCTGCTTGTACAACTGCCTAGGGTCTTGACACGCACAGGAGACTTGGCTGGAGGTCTTTTGTTGGGAAAGCCCAGTAGGGTGTTGATATGCATCTGGCTTTGGAGGGCACTCCAGGGAATGATCGGCGAGCTCCAAGACAGCCTGCCTTCACTAGAATCTTGCTTGAGGAGGTTACAAGCACCCTACTGAAAATCAGCTTTTGTAAAATGGAAGTAATGATGCTGTGAGGATGAATACCTTCATCCAGCAGGGAGCCAGAGATGATGAGAAGAGTCTTTTCCAGCTGTGGAGAGGCGGTGTCTCCCTACTCCACTCTGCCCTGTGCTATCAAACCATTTCTGCCCGGCTCCTGGGAATGGGCATGTGACTCTTTGTTTCCACTTCCCTCAGAGCCTGCAGCTCTGATGCAGCCAGCCTGGGCACTGAGGACAGAAATTTCCTGTTAGCAGGAAGAGAGTCCGTCAATCTGGGTAGGCTTGGCCAGACTGAAAGGGACTGGAAAAAGAAGCCCACAGCCTGAACAGTGGCACTCGTGAACTCTCCCCCTGCTGTAGGCTGTGCTGTTTGCTTGGGGCTGTGGTGGCTTATTCTGCATTCGTTTGCAGAAAGGTGGAGCAGAGTCTAAAGAGGGATGCAGCAGAGCTGAGCAAGCAGAGGTGCTCAGAACAGATTTACAGAAGCACCTCTGGGCAGGCACAGCCATGGCACACAGAGCAGCAGTTGCAGGGTTAGACTCAGCATTTACACTAAGCGCCAGTTTCTCTGCTGGGCTGTGATTTCAGGAAAGCTCCTGTCATGGTATCAGCAATAGCGTGGCGAGCAGGGACAGAAGGGATCTTACCCCTGTACTCAGCACTGGTGAGGCTGCACCTCGATGTCTGTGTTCAGTTTTGGGCCCCTCACGCCAAAAAGGCCATTGAATGACTCAAATGTGTCCGGAGAAGGGCAACGGAGCTGGTGCAGGGTCTGGAACACAGGTTGAGAGGCTGAGGGAACTGGGGGGGTTTAGTCTGGAGAAGAGGAGGCTGAGGGGAGACCTCATGGCCCTCTACAGCTCCCTGAAAGGAGGGTGCAGAGACGGGGGATGAGTCTCTTGAGCCAAGGAACCAGCGCCAGGCCAAGAGGGAATGGCCTCAAGCTGTGCCAGGGCAGGGTCAGACTGGCTCTTAGGAAGTATTTCTTTGCAGAAGGGGTTGTTGGGCGTTGGAATGGGCTGCCCAGGGCAGGGGGGGAGTCCCCATCCCTGGAGGGGTTGAAGAGTCGGGTTGACCCAGCGCTGAGGGATCTGGTAGAGTTGGGAATGGTCAGTATGAGGTTAATGTTTGGACTGGAGGATCTTCAAGGTCTTTTCTAACCTAGATGATTCTGTGATTTGGTGGTGGTGGTGGTGACGGAGTCTGGGATAAAGTGAAACCTTTGAACTCACACCCACAGACTTCCCTGTGCAGATTTTTCTGGAGTGATGGTGGGTGGGTTCAGCGTGTTCCAAACCCCTTTTGGGCCAAGGGGGCTGTGCCAAGGGCTTCTGTTGAGTTGGGCTGATTCTGGGACTCACCTGCCTCCCTCTAGCTCTCCCAACGAGGCAGGTAAAATGCTCTCTTCTCTGGCTCTCTCACAGAAATGCAAACCTCACAAGAGGCCTGTGTGTGGTAGCAATGGCAAGACGTACCTGAACCACTGTGAGCTGCACCGTGATGCCTGCCTTACTGGCTCCAAGATCCAGGTCGATTACGATGGCCACTGTAAAGGTAATCTCAACGATGAGGGCCTGCTACACTCTTAAGGGAGGGCAAGCCAAACCAGAAGCCAAACACAATGTCGAGGCAATGCAGAGCCCTCGCCAGCCAGGCCCGCATCCCACAGTTACTGAGTGGGTGTTGCATTTAAGGCAATGAATTAATTGGTAAGAGATGAATCCCCTTTTGTTCTAGCCAGTCCTCAGAGATTAGAGGGGCTAGGGGCGGCTGGACTTATCTCTTAATAGCTGTGCCAGTTATGGCTATAACTAGGCCTGACACCAGATGCACAAACAGCCCATATGCTGTAGGTCTGGTGCTTTCAAGAGAAGCAGTCAGGGTCACGAATAGTACCATTTATTCTCATGCAGCATCTGCAGATTCTTTGACATTGCCTACAATAAATGCACAAACTGCAGGTTGGCTACATAGCACTACACACAAAAAAAACCTGATTGCAATCACATTCACTTAATTCCTGGGTAATCGCTTGGCGTAGCCAAGGGCCCAAATCTTAACCAAAAGGTGTCTCTGCTGGGGGTGGCGAGGAGCACAAACCTGTCGGTCGATCTGTCCCTCCGTTTTGGTATCAGATTATTGTCCCTCCAAGTTAAATACAACTCCGGGTAGTATTTATCTAAATGTGTATGTGTGAGTGGTGGGACTGTGGTCAAGCCATTGTTTCTTGAGTAGCGACACAGCACATTCCTTGGTGCAAGGTGTGCGCTGGTTTTGTGGGAAAAGAGGAAGAATGAGAGATAAGGACTACAGAGTACTGCAAAACAGTCCTTGAGAGAAGGGGAAGAGCAGGAGATGAATCTGCATAGTCATGTCAAATGTACCACGCAGCCTCCACCTCAGTTCGCATTCCTCCTTGGTGCCACGGCAACACAAATCACTGGACCTCCATCCTGTCCTGTTTGTTCTGGGCCCTGTGTTAAGGAAATGTGTGTTTTGCAGATTTTTCACCGTTTTGCTTTTCCCACGCTTACAACAGTGGGCTAAACAGGGCAGGCCTGAGAACAATAGCCAGGTTTAACCAAGAGTCCAGATCGCCAGGCAAGTTTGTGGTGATGAAGTAGGCCTGAAGTCAAATCATAAAATCAGGTCTGGTGATGGCAACCAGAATCAGGCACAGGCCAGTCCATAGTGATACAGGCTAATAGTAGGTCTGAGATCAAGGTGAGAAGACAGTCACCAGGTCAGGGCCTAGATCAACAGGGTCTGTGGCAGGTACAGGAGTGGTTGCAATAGAGCTGGAGACAGGCGTACCTACAACCTAACCCCAGGTGAGGACTAAGGGCTGAGACAGCAGTGGAAATGGAGTCCCTGGGCTCATGGGTAGCAAGTGTGGATGGAGGCCCTAGGTGAGGTTGGCAGAGCCATTAAGACCTTCATTAGAGAACTTGGAAGACACCTTGGCTGTGGATCTTGGAGATGGGAGTTGCTGGGAGGGGGACACTCAAGAGAGCAGGGCAACTTCTTGCTCCTGCCTGCCCCTCTCTGAGCTCATGGATTTAGCCAGGCAGGTGTCTCAGTCTTCCTGCTGAGGAAAGGTCAGACCCCCAGGATAAACCTCCAAAGCCCATACTACCACCCATGTTCATGAGAGACCTCAAGAACTTAAGGAGCAAGGATTTTGCCTCAACGTTGAGGTTGTTTAACTTGCCCCCACACCAGCTGCACAGTAAAAAAGTGTTTCCTTATATTCAGCCAAAATTTCTTGTGTTTAAGCATGTGCCTGCCGCCTCTTGCACTGTCACTGGACACTGTGGAAAAGAGTCTGGTCCAGTCTTCTTCATCCCCTCCCATCAGATTTCTAAACATCGATGAGATTGTCCCCGAGCCTTCTTTTCTTCAGGCTAAACAATCCTCAGCTTCCCCATGGGATGACAGATGTTCCAGTTCCTTAATCATATATGTGGCCCTCATGTTTGCAAAGACTCTCAGGTTCCTCTGCTCTTGCCCAAGCGGCACCCAGGGCAGGAAGAGGTTTGTATTTCTTCATGTTGCATCAGAAATGTCCTCTTCTGTCTTTCATTAACAGAGAAGAAGTCTGAGAATCCAGCTGCAAGTCCAGGTGAGAAGCCATCTCCTTGCATGTCTGTGGCCTCTGCATGCATTTGGGAAGAGGAATGGGGAAGAAAGTCTGCTGGGGGAGTTGCAGGGCTCTGTGTGCAAGGCATACCTCTGCGCTGGTTGTAGCAGTCTGAGTCAATAAATTAGCTGAAAAATGATTGCCCAGCTCTTTACTCCTGGGTATACTTTCAGAGCTTATACATCTCCTGGGCTCTTCACTCTGCTGGAATGAGGGACTCTGAGCAAGTTCAGGGTGCAGTGAAACCTAGTTTGCCCCTAGGGCTGCAAGCTGCGTTCGTCACACAGGCTGAGGGAAGAGACACTTTTGCGTAGTTCATTGGGGATCTAAGACACAATAACTGTGGAGCTGTCCCCAACTCCAAGAGCACGCCTTTGAAAGGAGACTTTACTTCAAGACTGATTAACCAGTGGGTGCAGGGGCAGAAAGATGGCACCATGTAATGATTGGGCATTGTCTGGGGAGTCAGGTGGGTAGCTGAACCACCTCTTCCATCAGCCAACATGTCTCTTTGATATCCTGTGCCTGGTTTCTCCCCTTATGTTTTGCCTTGTGTACTTAGCCTATGGATTTTGGGGCCATGGCCCATGCTTCTTCAGGGGACCCTTTTCCTATCCATGGCCTCTAACTGCTGGAGCTGTATAATCATCAGCTTCAGCTTCCCAGGACAGATGAGAGCAAACCCTCGTACAGGCTTAAGGGAAAGGACCATGTCAGAGCATGGCCACCACCTCAAAGCAGTTTAAGGAAGCTCAACATTAAACACGCAGAGTCCCCTTAGGTTTTTCTTTCATCTGTCGGTCTGGTTGTGATTGTAGTCACTGGATTCAGAAAGAGATTCTTATTGTATGTAAGCAATACAAGTGATTCCCTTTCTGGCTCCATTGACCTCTGGATGGGTGTGACAACTCACAGAAGCCAGAAGATCTAGGCTTTCAGTTTTGCTTCTGAATACATAGTTTGATATTAGCACACAAGGTGATATCCACCTAGAGAAACCTGTGGCAGGGGAGGGCACTGTGAACAAGCCCAACTTGACTCCCTCTCATTTCCACTCAGAGTGGGCAAGTCAGGACTTTGAAGAAACAAAATCTCCTGAGGTAGTAGGCTCTAAAATTCAAGTCTTGGGGTCAGCGGCTTCCTCAGTCTAGTCTTCATCCTTGCAGAGGATGGAGGTTTTGGTACTTGAGGGTTAATGACTGAGTGCCTGTTCTGCACAGCATCAGGAACCCTGGGGACACTATCCCAGGCCAGTCAGTCGCCTTCCTCCCTCAGTCTGGAGGCTCTTCACGACAAGATGAGCCAGGCCAGGGTTGCTATTTCACAAGCTTTGAGGACAGGACTGCAGAAGGGATTTGGCAGGAGTGTCGTTTTCTGGCCTTGCCACATGGTGTCACCCAGAGCCCATCCGCCGTTCAGCACATGGCATCTCTGCTTTGGTCTGTCGCTGATCCAAGGACAGAGGGGCCTGCAACCTGCGGTCAGGGCTGCCTTACTGGCTTTTAGTTCCTGTCATCTCTTTGTAGTCTCCCTGCCAACTTCATTTCTCTCATCCTTGCTTTTTTTTTTTCTGCTGCACCTTCTCCCATGACAGTCGTCTGCTACCAGTCAGACAGGGACGAGCTTCGTCGCCGTGTCATCCAGTGGCTGGAAGCTGAGATTATCCCAGACGGCTGGTTTTCCAAGGGCAGCAACTACAGTGAAGTCCTGGACAAGTATTTCAAGGCAAGTAGAGCAGTGCCTGCCTCAGAGACCAGAGAACATTTACCCAGTCACTGCAAACTGCATTGGAATGGGCTGCCCAGGGCAGGGGGGAGTCCCCATCCCTGGAGGGGTTGAAGAGTCGGGTTGACCCAGCGCTGAGGGATCTGGTGGAGTTGGGAACAGTCAGTGTGAGGTTAATGGTTGGACTGGATGATATTCAAGGTCTTTTGAACCTAGATGATTTTGTGAAACCATGTCCCCACCCAGGAGGATCCAGCATGTGATGGGCTGGTCAAGCTCTGGGCCAGAGAGCTCTAGTATGTCCTGCAATGTGATGTGTTACGCAGCCACTGACATGGCTAATCCACACCTGGAGCATCCCTGGGGATCTGACCTGCCCTGGGGAAAAGGAGGAGGGCAAGGCCAGGCATGCCTGTGGCAGGGGAGAGAAGGACTGATCTCAGGAGACAAAAGATAGCCAGAGGAGAAAAGATTGGTGAAAGTGCTAGAAATGCAGGAAGCCAGAGCAGGGGCTGCTGATCCTTTGTTCCAGACAGTCCCAAAGCCATGTTGAGCTGGGGGTAGGGGACACCTGGGGGCTTCAAGCAGAATATTTGCTTGCAAGGAGTATGGCCCAGTTGTGACCAAGAGCTGACATTTCCCTAGTGCTCTGCAGAGAGAGAGGAGCTGCCTGTGAGTCTTGGGCCCTGCCATAATCCCGTTCCTCTTCCCTCCTCCCTGTCAGTCTGTCCCTCAGGCCATTCCCACCCCCTTTTGCAACGAGCAGATCACAGCTTCTCCCATGCTCTTGCCACATGCACTTGCTGCGTCCCTCCCCCTCACACCCAGCTCCTCATAAAGACTTCAAAGCATTCAGGATGGAGCTGGAGGAGCAGGTGGGGAAAGGGGGAGAGTGTTTAAATCATAAGATGTTGACAGCAAGAGATTAATGGTGCCTGACAGGAGTGAGCGCTGCAAGCAAATTTGCCATGGCAATGGCACCCCCTGATGAGACAGAGGAGCTGGTCCCCTCACTCTGGAGAGCATCTTCGCCTTTGTAGCCATTAATGCTGCTGTCTCTGTGGAAACCCACTTGTGGCCCACCGCCTCGGGCAGCCCCGCTGGCACCTCAATGCTGCGGCATCCTGGGGAGCGGAGCTGCTCAGTCCCTCCCCCTGCAAAATGCGCTGTCCCCAGCTGCCTTCACAGAGAGCCTGCCCAGGCCGTGGGCTTTGCTGAAACACGTGAGCCAGGCGTGGGCTTTCTCCACTGCTACAGCATGGCCCAGTCACCCCTGCCAGCCCCGTGCCTGCCAGAGTGCTGGTGAAATCCCGTAGGTGCAGCTCAGAGACCAGACAGCCTCATGTCCTCTGTACTGTCCCTCTTCTTATGGAGCCTTGATCCCAGGCACAAGTGGGTGAAAATTTCCATGACAAAGCCTTTTCACAGACCAAAGGGGGACTTTTATTCTCTGACAGGTATAATCCACATCAACAACCCTGAAAACTTTGAAATGCTTTTAAAGCAGAATTCAGAGCTTGGAGCAGCTTGGGACAAATTTGGTGAACAGAGTTAAATCTGATTGGTGGCCAGTCATGTGGTGTCCCACAGGGCTCAATTTTGGGGCCACTCCTGTTTAACATCTTTATTGATGATCTAGATGAGGGAGTCGAGTGCACCCTCAGTCAGTTTGCAGATGACACCAAGTTGGGTGCGAATGTTGATCTGCTGGAGGGTAGGGAGGCTCTGCAGAGAGACCTGGACAGGCTGGAGCCATGGGCTGAGCCCAACTGGGGGAGTTTCACTAAGGCCAAATGCCAGGGGCTGCTCTTGGGCCACAACAACCCCCAGCAGCGCTACAGGCTTGGGGAGGAGTGGCTGGAGAGCTGCCAGTCAGAGAGGGACCTGGGGGTGGGGGGGGAGTGATTGACAACCGGCTGAACAGGAGCCAGCAGTGTGCCCAGGTGGCCAAGAAGGCCAATGGCATCCTGGCTTGTGTCAGCAATAGCGTGGCCAGCAGGGACAGGGGAAGGGATCTTACCCCTGTACTCGGCACTGGCGAGGCCACCCCTTGATGAGTGTGTTCAGTTTTGGGCCCCTCACTCCAAAAAGGCCATTGAATGACTCGAGAGTGTCCAGAGAAGGGCAACGGAGCTGGTGCAGGGTCTGGAGCACAGGTCTGATGGGGAGCGGCTGAGGGAACTGGGGGGGTTTAGTCTGGAGAAGAGGAGGCTGAGGGGAGACCTCGTCCCCCTCTACAACTCCCTGAAAGGAGGGTGCAGAGGGGGGATGAGTCTCTTGAACCAAGGAACAAGTGCCAGGACAAGAGGGAATGGCCTCAAGCTGCGCCATGGCAGGGTCAGACTGGCTCTTAGGAAGTATTTCTTTGCAGAAGGGGTTGTTGGGCGTTGGAATGGGCTGCCCAGGGCAGGGGGGGAGTCCCCATCCCTGGAGGGGTTTAAGAGTCGGGTTGACCCAGTGCTGAGGGATCTGGTGGAGTTGGGAACGGTCAGGGTGAGGTTAATGGTTGGACTGGAGGAGCTTCAAGGTCTTTTCCAACCTACATGATTCTGTGATTTTGTGAAATCCAAGAAAAGCAAACTAAATGGGTTCAAACACACATAAATTTGTTTCACCAATGAGGGTCCACTGTTAGTGGAGGAATTCTGCCATGCCCAGCTCAGGGACTCCCCACGCCCACCCTGCAAATGGCCAGTGTCCTGCCCTGCATGTAATAGACACTGGAGACAAAGATGACATGAAGTTTTTCCCTTTTCTCTTTGATGGGGAGTTTTGTAGATGTGTCATTAAGCTGTTTCCCTCCTGGAATCCTGACTTGTGTGGATCACTGGGATGTGGGTTGTCCATCAGACAGGCCATGACCTTGAAGGACGTTATTTCAAGAGATGCCAGTAGTGGGATTTTGCTCTGTTTCGTAGGGTCTCTGGGGGAACACATAAATGCAGACCATAGTATTGAAAGGCAAGAAAATGAGCTTAACTGAGTCTGGGTCATTAAGGGAATTGTGGCCACCTTCACAAGAAATAGCGGGACGAGAGGCTTCAAAGTCTAATAGAAGTTGAAACACTTTAGTGGAGCAGTTATACGCAGGCTACAGCATGCAGAGTGATTTTCCTAGCCCTGCAGGTTTCTCCTGAACCATATAGAGGTAACAACAGGCAGTGTCTCTTCCAGCATTCCTGGAAGCACTGCACAAGGAGACACAGTCACCTGCCGCAAGTCACACCTCAAAAATTAGCCGGCAGCAGTCTGCATGCAGAATTCATTTTCCCCTAACTGCAATGCAGCTGTCTCTGAGGGGGCCCAGCAGTTCCTGCTGAGTGCCCGGTGCTGTGACATGACATCTCCAAACAGGAAGGCAAAATGCAATTACTTCTTTGGGAGTACAGCCAGGCTTTTGGGGCTAAAAATCCTGCTTTTCAGCGCCAGGAGTCCTGTCAAGACCTTAAGAAGTTGGTGGTGAGGCATTGTGCTGTTGCATTAAATTGTTCCTTCTTTGGGATCAGCAGAAAATTGCTTCCTGTGATTTTCCCTTTTGTCAGTGTCACAGTCTAGGCACAGCTTTGGATTTACACTTCTTGGAAAGCTGACATCTCCTTGAATGCAACTGGTCTGCTTTAAGGCAGGAGGTACATAAGAAGGCTAAGAGGTGGCTGGAACAAAAGAAATGGGGTTAGAGCCATAAATCAAGCAGCAGGAGGTGAAGGAGAGGCAGCATAGCTCATCAGTGAGAAGAAAGCTAGGATCATGTCTCCCAGTTTTGATGCTAGTATGGATACATTACTGCTTTTCCCCGAGCCTCTTTGTGCAAAACAGGGCTGAGGCAACCTTTTTCACTAAAGCTTCAAAAATGTGAAGTCCGTGTGGAAGAGGGAGAAGGAAGGGGTACCCCGAACTGATGAATCTTTCCATCTTGGCCTACAGAGCTTTGACGATGGCGATTCTCGCTTGGACTCCACTGAATTCCTGAAGTTTGTGGAGCAGAATGAAACTGCTGTCAACATCACCACCTACATGGACCAGGAGACCAACAAGCTGCTCAGGTGGGCAGAGGACAGGATGCCAGGAGAGCCGGGGGCAAGATGTGGCAGAAGGGGGCATGAAAATCCACTCATGGGAAATACCAGCTTGCACTAACAAAGATAATGGTGTATGAAGTGGCCTCTCACTTAATTAGGTGTGAATGCCACCAAAAGGAGCGGTCTCAGCCCTACCTTTCACATGTATTCTAACCCTCTTTTGCCTTAAATCTAGTAGGGGTGTAACCAGAAGGTGAGTTGGGTGACAGAAAATTTACCGCCTTTTGTATTTCCTAATAAATTAGCTTTTCCATGAGCCTTACTCTTGCCTGATAGCTAGATACAGTGCAAGGAAGATAGTGGGAAGACACAGCTCACGGGCAGCCTGCAATTTTAGAGCTGGTGCAAGCATTGCATGAAAATGCAGTTTGAGAGGTTTCCCTTTTTCTCTGAGTGTGAGATGATGAGGAGAACAGGCTGCTTGTGGCTAGGCTGTTCTTGCATCTCTACTTGCGTGACAGCATGTAGATGTTAACAAGGTCCTATTCCTGTTGTTTTGTTTATTCCCCCACTTCCCAGCCCTTTGCCAGACAGAGAGTATTTTGTGACTATTTTTCTTTTTTTGTCTGTATCCAATGAGATTTCCTTACAGAAGCCACTTGTGCCAGGCATCTCAGAGCCTTTGTATTTACTACCAGTTTTACTCATCTGTGCTCTAAAGCCAGTAGAGTGGGGACCAGCCCAGTACAGCCCTGTACAGAACATGCCTGTGTTTCCTTTTAGGGGACTCTGCGTAGATGCCCTCATCGAGCTGTCAGATGAAAATGCTGACTGGAAGCTCAGCTTCAATGAATTTCTCAAGTGCCTCAGCCCATCCTTCAACCCACCAGAGAAAAGTAGGAACTCCTCACTTGTACTGGGGAACCAGAGGGGTCCTGGGAAGGGAGGAAAGAAAAGAGTCAAGCTTTGGGCCAGACATCATATGCTGTAACTCCCCTCCCAGAGATAATGTTGATATACACCTCCCTCCCATCCAACAGCACCCCTTGTCCCTGTGTTGTCACAAGTACTGCTTTTTCTGTCCCAGAGCTCCTGCAGCTCTTCTGATGAAGAAGGTTTGGATTTTAGAAGCAAGGGTGTAGGTCAAATGGATACAGTATACTTGGAAGGTCAAGGCATATATTTAACAGTGTGGAGATAAATCATGTGAGGAGTTCACATCTGGGCAACTTAGGAAAGTCAGACCAGGCCAAAGTCCTGCTCTGCTCTGCCTTTCACACAGAGAGCCTCCCTGATGAGCATCTCAAAGTTCACTGTCCTTCCAAATCCTGCTTAGTGCTACAGTTCCTGTGGAAGCAGATTTGTGTTCTGCTGACCAGGCGTGCTTAGCTATTCACCTCACTGTCTCCTTGGGGGGTGCCAGTTCAAAGATCCGGATTTACATCCCACTGCAGTGGCACTGAAGAGCAGGCTATGCATCTTAGGGAATATGAAGTTGAACTCTCTCTTGCCTGTTTCAGTGGGAAGCTAAGGATGCTGCACCTCACCTGGAAAACACTATCAGTTGGTTTTTACTTTAACATCGTACAGGCCCTTGAGTGCTTTGGGGGCCCTATCTTAAACATATAATAGAACTGTGAGAAGAAACGGGTCCTTTCCCTTTCCCTTTCCCTTTCCCTTTCCCTTTCCCTTTCCCTTTCCCTTTCC